GAGACTGGCAGAAATATGGAGCCACAGGTGAAGCTTTCTGCAATACTTTTAGACTTTCATTATTTCTAAAGCACTTGCCAAATGGGCAAGCTAGTTTTGAGAGAAAGGCTTTAACTTTAAACATTCACATTTATAGGGAAAATCTTGTTAATCTTGATAAACTCTAGATATCTATGCCGATTATCTCAATCAAACATCAAAACTATTCGAGGAGCTCTTTCGAAATCGAAACTACGATCCAATGCTGTCACCTGTTTATGCGAATATGCCGAAAAATTGGAGCAGTAAGTGATTGTTGTTGATTGAGATGATTTCATGCAAATTTTAAGGCACCCATCAACCGAGATTCCGGGTTGTTTGTTATCTTGCCTATTCAAAAGTGATCAACGTGGTTGGTGATTTTCCACACTGAAGTTATCAAGAATGTTCTCTCTATCTCTATCTTCTAATCGAAATGAATAAAGATGCAATTTTAGGATGCTCAAAGTCAAATCTTCAACCTGATGGTTGATCTTTGGATCGTAAGTGAGACTTGATGAATACTATAAAGTGCTCAATTCCAGCAATGGCAAGACATCCGTTTAAGTTGGGATCCAAAAGAGTTTGGCGGTGTGAATTTCTTTTGGGCAAATCCGCAAATGATCTGGATGCCTGAGCACAATATTGCCGATGCGTGAGAATTTTTGGTTTTAGTTAAACGAGTCAATTAGACATGGGAAAATTCCAAGCCGAATCTCATTCCACCTTCGTTTTCTCGACTGATTGCTCTGAAATTTTGTCTACAGATAGAAATCGACATTTTTTAGCTTGTAGACAAAATTTCAGAGCAATCGGTCAAGAAAAGATCGAGAAAACGAAGATGGAATGAGATTCGGCTTGGAATTTTCCCATCTCTTACGAATTATTCAGCAAAGTCCTCGAGGAGATCTACCCGATCAATCTTCAGCAGGCAAAACTTTGGCACAATGGATCGGTGACGATTGTGCGAAGTTATTATGCGGAGATCGCATGCTATATAGATGTAAAATCCTGTGGAAGTAATTAGACTTTTCTTTTTGCAGGTCGCAACATTTCCTTTTGATCGACAGAGATGTCAAATTCCGATAATAAGCAGAAGTTATGATGAGAATCATCATGAAATGCTTCCTGGAATCAACACCGATTTTGCTGCTAGTATCACGGTAAGGCTTGGCAAAACTTGTTGACCGTTGATGTATTTTTCTTTTAGCTATTCAGTTGTATAATGAAATTGAATCTAAATCGATTTTAAATGATTAGAACTTTAAATGCAAATAAGTCTTTTCGTTCCTTTTCGTAAAAATAACAAATTCATCAATTAACCTACCTGTAATACCTGTAATAGTATCCCCGCTTCGTACAGTCGCGTAGCCTAACTTCTTTTTTAGAAAGTCATTTTTCCCTCATTTTTCATTCATTTTTCAGTCTGGAAACGTGTTTTTTTTTGTTTCCGTAAAAACGTTTTTCGTAAAAGAATCTTTGAAAAATCTCTACGAAGAAATTAGCTGAATCAATTTCTCTGAAAAATTTCGTTATATACTTAACTTTTTATGCAGAACAAACAAATACACCAATTGAATTACGTTTCATTAAAAAGAGCAATCATTTTACTACAAAATAAGATTAAAATGTGTTTAAAATGTTTTACGTTTGCCTTTTTTTGAGGGTACAAAGTCTAGGCAGACGCAAAACATTTTAAACTCATTTTAATCTTATTTTGTAGTAAAATGATTGCTCTTTTTTAATGAAACGTAATTCAATTGGTGTATTTGTTTGTTCTAAACGAAAAGACTTGCCTAATAGATTTTAATGGACATTATGATATTGCATAGGGAAACGGAGAGTGGAACTGTGCAGCAATTATCCCATCGATACAACACCAAGGCGGTGCAGTTATGCAGTTTGATGTGGTGAGTTCAGATCGTAGAATTTGTAGAACAATAGCAATCTTTTAGCTTACGTTCACCTTTTTTCTGCATCGTGTCCCCCATTTCTACATCTACGTGATCGCTTTGCCGTGTCTTGTGCTGACGACACTCTCGATTTTCGGAATGTTTTGGACACCAAACGATAATGAACAGCAAATCGCTAAAGTAGACGCTAAAAAAAGATTAGAGTTTCACTATTGAAAGTATTCAGTTAAGTATCGGTTTGACAAGTCTCGTCTCGATGACCGTTTTGTTGCAAATGGTTTCCGAATCTATCCCAAAAACAATCCAGTTTCCATTATTGGGTAAAAGCTGTAGCAACTTCAGTGCAATTCTCGACCTTTCAGGAGTCTACGTTGTGATCGACGTCTTAATCATCTCGATCGCTTGCGTGATCGTTGTCGGTTTCTCCTTTGAACAATGTGCAAAGCGAAAGAAGAAATTAGAAGCGAAAGTTGACGAGTAATTTGTTTTGGAATTACAGTCATGTGCAAAAGTCTTTTCACATTCAATTTTCTAAAAAGTTTCATCAATTTTCTTTGATAAAGTTCATGGCGCTCTTTAAGCCATTAATAGTTTTAGTTACACAAATATATGTACAATTTATTTACACGAACGTTATCGCTATACAACACTTATTCAGTGAGAAAAAAGTATAATTGTCAAAACACCCCTGAAAATCGCGGTGCAAAAGTCTTTTCACATTTGCAAAAATTTTTATTATTTTCGTTCGCTTCGTATTTACTGGTACTATTTTATTTTTGTTTAGATGCCAGGAGCGTACTTGTCAACCCCGGATAAAGAAAGGATCGTCGAGGCAAGGAAGGAAGGAATGCCACGACAAGACGTGGCTCGCCTCTTAGGATGTACGCCCAGAGCAGTTTCTCTTGTCATGGCAAAAATGAATGTGTCTGGAAATATGCACAGATGTAGGAAAAAGGGACGGTCGAGGATTACAACAAAGAATGAAAACCGATTCCTTACGGGAGCTTTCAAAAGGGATCCGAATTTGACGTTGAACGATGGAGTCATTCTTTTCAAACAAGAATATTTCCCGCTAGACCTTGCATCGACGCTTGCTTCAAGCAGCATTGTATACTAGCAGACCTGCTTCCAAACCTATGATGACAGCCAAACACAGGAGGCAACGCCTTCAATTTGCTCGAACCTATTCAAATTGGACAATCGATGATTGGGCCCGAGTGATTTTTGTTGATGAAATAAAAGTTGATATTTCTCCTTCAAATCGAAATCATCTGATCCGACGTCCAATTGGAAAGCGATATCAACTCAAGTACTTGCAACCCACGGTGAAAACAGGCGGAGGATCAATTATGTGTTTCGGTAAGGATAATTTTCTTTTTATACAGCTCAAAATGATTTCTTTAGGTGCGATGTATAAAAGTTCAACAGATCCGCTGGTCCTCGTAAAGTCAACAATGGATTCCCGCCAATATATTGAGATATTGGACAGATGTCTACTTCCATTTGCGACTGCTTCGATGAATCCAGGATGGTTTCATTATCAAGATAATTCGCCAGTACACAAGAGCAAACTTTTGATGGGCCGTGTTGTGACTATTTTGAATGGAGGAAAAACACATTTACCGGGATGGTTTGGAATCAATCACGTTTTTTTAATCAAGGCTCCACCATTCTCACCGGATTTAAATGTTATTGAGAATTTATGGACTTATTTGAAATCAAAATTGCGAGGAAAACGATCCAATTGTAAAGTCGAGCTATGGTTTTACATCAGAAAAATTTGGAGGACGATTGGACCTGGAATTCTTGATGAATTAATTGCATCGATGCCTACTCGTATTAAAGAAGTACTTTTGGCAAAAGGAGGAGCGACTAAATATTGATTAAAGCTTAATTTCGTTTTATGTGAAAAGACTTTTGCGCCACGATTTTCAGGGGTGTCTTGACAATTATACTTTTTTCTCAATGAATAAGTGTTGTATAGCGATAACGTTTATGTAAATAAATTGTACATATATTTGTGTAACTAAAACTATTAATGGCTTAAAGAGCGCCATGAACTTTATCAAAGAAAATTGATGAAACTTTTTAGAAAATTGAATGTGAAAAGACTTTTGCACATGACTGTAAGTCAATGAAAAAAAATTTAGTCGTTATTGGCGTCGAGCTGTTGGATGGCTTCTTACTCCACATCTCGTTTGTCATGTCATTTTTCAAACGCTTAACTTTATCAACTTTATCGTTTTGATGTCTTTCTGGAAGATCGACAATGAGAATTTTGATATACCGTGGGCAATTCCGCAGTTTTGATGTTGATAAAGTTTTTGATTGCTTTGTTTGATCGATAGTAAAACAACGAGAATTGTTAAGCTTTATAATAAGCTTTATAATATTCAAGACGACGAACGCCAGGTTTTTGGCAATAATAGAGCCTTTTTGTGTGCCAGGATTTGGGCCTAACCTTCGAAACAACGCTAGTTTTCAGGAGAATCCCGTATTCAAGACCTCTATGACATTAAAACTTGTCACCAGATCTGTTATTCGATCATTTGTCATATACAAATAATGAATCGTCTATTCGCTATGCTCATCTAGCGAAGATTCTGTCTTTTTTTCCGAAATCTAACATGCAACCTCGGGAATTCTTCTGTCTGCTCTTCGGCGAGCATCCCCAAATTGGACACCCCATTGCCTGGTTTCTAGATTGAACGGAGGACTGGCTGGATGAAGGGATAGTGTATTTGGGGTCTGCCCCATCCAGAAGCCTTTAGGGGTTGCCGAGGAGGGCAGCCGGTTTTCGAGGGTTTTCCAGAAGCCTCTCTTCCACCGCTAGGCCCACCCCTTCCGAGGATCGATCCAGGCCCTGCTCTCAGCGCTCTTCTCCTCCTCCCCCTTCTTCAGCGCTGATCTCCTCTGCCCAACTGCTTCCACCCAGCTCTTCCCCCTTTTCCTTTCCCCAGAATCCATCCCTCTTTTTGGCCCCCATTCCCTTTCACGGCCTCACACACCCACATTTCTCCCTCCTTTCCGTTGAAAAGCCGCACACCTCGCCACGGATAATCCTGAAATATGGCTGGAACCGCTGACGCTGCTGTAAGTTTATTTTCTGAGCTTGGATTAATTGGTACTTTTGGAGAGTGTTTATTAAGTCAAAGGCAGGCTTCAACCCTCAAGAGCTATACGTTTTCTTTCTACGACTAAGCTTACTAATCTTCAACCTTCTTAACTTGCTTATGATCAACCAAAATCTTTAATCTAGCAGAAGCTTTACTAATTCATGATCTATAGCTCAATCTCAAGAGTTAAATCTAGCAATAGATTCTTTATGAATCTATTAAGCTCAAACTTCAAAGATCGTACTTCAAGAACCTTCTAATCTTAAATGAATTCTAATCTTTCATCAAAGCTCACTGTTTTTACTGAATCCAAATTATTGGCATTATCTTTCTCACATATTTTTCTTTTTTTCATCAAGGTTTTCATTTGGGTTTGGTCGGATATCTCGATGAGAAGTGATGGGAAGAAAAAGAGGGGAGAGGGGATGAAGGATCGGCTCTGATGAAGTGCGGGGAAGGGACGAGGCAAAGGGAAATGCTTAGTGTCTAGAGAGGGAAAATTACTCTTTTTCACCCGAAAGCTTTTTTGGGCTTTTCATCTTTTATTGAGCATTCGCACGGTTCTGATATAGTAAGAGCGCTGTGTGGAAAACTGGAAAACTGAATACTTTCGTATTTTTGCACCGCCATTAAGTTACGATGCAAATTGATCTTTGTCATTTTACTTTATCATTAAATTTTAGCATATTTTATCCTAGTTTTGATATGCTTTTGAATAGATTTAAGTTAGAATTAATGAATATAAAGATAATAAAGTCATTTCCCCTTATCTTTACCAAACTAGAGACACACAGACCAAAGAAATTTACATTTATTCTGTTTAGATTGACGGAAAATACGAAAAAAATCATATACAGGCTGAAAAATAAGAATTTTCTTTGGGATTTTGGTTTGATTTTCGAAAATACACTTGACGCTTGTCGATCGATGTTTTGAATGTTTACCAAAAACAAATTTTAACCCAATAACTCAATAAAGCTTTATTGGTATAACTGTCACAGATAGAGATCAAAAAAAAATTAAAGTAATCAGATCAAATCTGAAATCAGAAACTTCTAAAACACTGCCTCAGTTTTAAATCTAGAATTGTGTCTGCTTTTGATGTTTGAGAGTTCCTTATTGTCAGTTCTCTATATTGTTTTCCCCAATCGATACTTAAACCAATCTTCTCTTGTTATTTCTTGACTTTAGCCTTCCTTCTTTTTCATTTCCATAATCCATCGCTTTCAGAAGAGAGATGAAAGTCCTTCTTTGTCGGAATCGGCTCTAAAGACCCCAGGTGCTCCTTTTCCCCTTTCTTTTTCCTTTTTCTCTTTTCAAAATTCAGAAAGCCTCCTTTTTCAAAGAAAAGCGCAAAAACTTCTCGTCATTTTTCTCCTCTTCACCTCGCGATTTTTTCGTCTTTCGAAAAGAAACCACTCTGAATTTTCGAGGGGAAAACCCGGGGCTTTACAATGTGTTTCAGTTTGATCAAATAACCAAATTCAAAGCGTACATAAAAATTCTGATTTTGAGTAAAAAATGACGTAAAAAATCCTAGCAAATTTTCTTACAAATTAGATTTTTCAGAAAAACGCTCTCTCCTCAATCTTCGACAAGGCTAAGGATGTTGTTGGAACTGCCGGTGAGAAAAGCTTGAATTGCTTAGCTGAATGTTTAGCTGAATGTTTACAATAGAATATTTGAAATTTTTGATATTTGAATATTATTTGGATTGAAATATCCCTTGAAAATCCTTTAGCTGAGGCCACAAAGGGTTACGCAAGCCAAGCGCAACAAGCGATCGGGAAAGTGATCCCCGGGATGAGTGTCGATCATTCGGCTCAAGATCCGGTGAGTCAATGGAAATCGCTTTTGAAAACTGAAGATAAGCAGTTAATAAGAAAATGATAATTTAGAAATTATTGCATTTTTGAATAGAAAAGGGACTAGTGTCTCCATTCGGTTTCAATTTAAGAATGATAGGTAAACAAGCTCGAAATTCAATGTTCTTCGTTTTATTCGTATGCTTTTACAATCAAAAAAACTAGTAAGGTAATAATAATAGAAATTACAAGTAAAACAGATCGAGATTTCAACTTCGTTGATGAGAAATTGATTATAAAATACGTTGTTTGGATTGATTGAATTGGAAAGAAAGGTTATTTGAATTGAAATTTCTTTAAAGCAAATATGAAACAAGGAAAAAAAAGGATTAGTAATCTGTAAGCATAAAAAGAATCAAAACAATCCCCAATTTTCTTTCAGTCAGTCGTTCAACCAGCTGAGACGGCCGCTCCCGCTCCTCCACCTCCACAACAATAAACAAAAAAAGAAAAGAAAATGCACTCAACTTTAATAAAAACTCTTTCTGCCAAAATGTTTCTCCTTTAAATTTCCTCTTTCTTACATAATTTTTCAACTTTTTTTTCTTTTCGTGATACTGAATTTTTCTTCTAAATAACCAGAATTTTGATTATCATAGTGTTAAAAGGACTCGCTAGTAGGAAAATCTGACGTAGATTTTCAAAAAATAAAAAAAGATTTGCCTATTATTCACTTTTCGACTTTTTTCTAACAAACAAATCCGAGTGAGGACCGAAGAAAAAACAAACGATTAGAAGGAAATTTTTTTGCTCTTTTTTTTAACCATTACCCTATTTTTCTTTAAACAAAAATCACTTTCTGTGCTTAAGATTAGCTATATTTTTGAAATAAATTATGTTTTTCACGAGGAAATCTACAGTTACAATAAAGTTACAATAAAGTTACAATAAAGTTACAATAAAGTTACAATAAAGTTACAATAAAGTTACAATAAAGTTACAATAAGGTTACAATAAAGTCACGATAAAGCTACAATAAAGTTACAATAAAGTTACAATAAAGATTATCAGTAAAGATAAAAGATCAAGAAGTAAACAAGAATCAATTGAAAAAAAACTTCTAACCGAAGAAGAATTTTTACGCAGAATAACCCTTTTTTCTTTAGAAAAAGCTTAATATGTACAAAAAAAAGGTTTAAAAATCGGGATTTTTGTATAGAATTGAAGGTTCTTAGAATAGAATTCTCTAAAGTGTAAATTGACTACCGTAAATCAGTTACAGTAACAAGAAAAACTTTTATTGGATGGATTGAACTTCCGAGCTGCCGAGCCACAAACACACGCAATACCAATACACCACAAATTCAAAAATGGATCTGCTCCCGATTTGTGAAATCTCCGATGTAATTTTTTGGTAGAAAAAAATGTTTGCTGACAGACCTTTCACTCAAATTTTACCCTAAAATGAACTCTGCTTAGGCAGTTAGATTCCTATTGACGTACGGTTTTAAGGCACTGGCACGAAAATGGCGCGGCGCGCTTTCTAAAGCGTGGATGCGCTACCGTACCCCGCACAAAAATCCCCCTTTTGCCATTCTTTTCATTTTTCGGGGTTGGGACAAATGTGACCTTTTTTTCGCTGAAAAAGACCTTAGGAAAGGCCGTAGAGCTTCAAAAATGTTTTCACGTAAGGGAATCTATGCGTAGATTCCGAATTTTGACAAATCAGACCTCGCTGACACGTCAAATTTGGGCTAAAAAGCAAAAACTACACAACTTCACGCTTTTCCACAGTTTTTGCCTTTTAGCCCAACGTGTCAGCGAGGTCTTATTTGTCGAAATTCGGAATCTACGCATACGATTCCCTTACATGAAAACATTTTTGAAGCTCTACGGCCTTTCCTAAGACATTTTTCAGCGAAAAAAGGTCAGCATTTGTCCTATCCCCATTTTTCTGCATTCCATGCTAGGATCGGAAACCTTTTCCGGCTTTTATGCCGAGTGCCGCTAAGTTTTCTCCCTTCTATTATGTTTTATGTTTTTATTTATTTGTTTGTTTGTTTGTTTATTTGTTTGTTTATGTTTTAAAATCTATTATGTTTTTGTGGCGCGCTTTTAAAGTACTCTCCCACGCCTCGTTCGTTCCCTCATTTTTATATTGTTTGCCCATAGTTTGTTGTTTAAAATTCTAATACGATTTTGTTTCGTTTTCTTTTCGGCTCTTTCCATTATTTTCAATCCGTTCACACATGCCGTATAAACTTAACCAATTCCTTTTACGCAAATCTAAGTAATCTGTCAAAACGCGATTTTCTTTCTTATTATTTCGTCTTGGGTTTCGTGTCAAATCATTTTAGAAAAGCGTTGATAAGTCTAATGGTGTTGGGTCAGGGAGTTAGTTATTAACTAGGCTTTATAATATCATTTTTGTACTGCACCTTTCGAGATGAGTTATTCCTTTAGTTTGTCTTGTCTATTTCGTGAACCCCATCTCTTCCTGGACTACGATACCTTTCCCACTTGGCTCTCATTCAACTACAAACCACATCTTTGTCATTCCTTTTCTCTCATTTCCTCATTTCGAATGAATAGCATGACAAAAATGACGTCATTTAGAATTTGCGAGAACATTCCCGTAATTTGCGAGAATTTCCCATAAAACAGCTGCTTTTCCGAATAGTCATCCATTTTTGAAAACTTTTCAATATTAAATTTGTTTCTGATTGAACTTATCGTTTTGTAGTGATGGCTGAATTCCCGTCTCTCGGACAACATTGCGGTGTGGATCTTTGCAATCAATTGGGTGAGTCGCGCAAATTACAGTACTAAAACTAGTACTGTAATTTTGTAATTTCTTTTTTCTAAAATTACAATACTAAACTAAAACTAGAATTAGACTTCTAATTAGTTAATCATTACACATCTCGTAAATCATATAAAACTTCTGATTTTAGATTTTCTCCCAGTGAAATGCGACGCTTGTCACGGGACTTTTTGGTGAGGGATTTTATTGGTTTTCGATCAAATTGAATACTTTTCAGTATTACACATTTCACCTATGACGGACACGAGTGCAAGGAAACACACTCAAAGGTTTGTCAATTGGAAATCCTATAGCATGCAATTTATTTGTAATATTTTTATGCAGTAAGTCCAGGCCCAGAAGCCCAGGCTTGACCTAGCCTGTAAGCTAGACTAGAGCCAGCTCGAAGTCTACCTAAGCCTTGAGTTTTGACTTCAATTATCCCTTGATTGAGTTTGATACATAACGCTCAAATCCTCTTTTCAGAACGTGCAAGTACCCGTGTGCCCTCTATGCAATCAACCAGTCCCCGTCGGGAAAGGAGCCAACATTGATCAAATTGTCAACCAACACATCGATATGAATTGCCCGACTAAGCAAAAGAAGCGGATTTTCAAGAATCAGTGCTCGAAAGTCGGATGCAAGAAGCGAGAGGTTGGAAGAGCTTTGGAACTTTGGCATTAAAATCAAATAATACTTTGTGATAATAATTCGATTAAAAGTAAACAAATTTCATTTTAGCTTGTCCCTTTCACGTGCAATCGATGCTCAAAGAATTTCTGTGTCTCACATCGACATGAATCGGATCATGATTGTGAAAAAAACGGACCGGCCACGAGTCGAGCTGGGTAAGCAATTTCTTTGTGAAATGAATCAAGTCAAGCAATCTTTGAAGTTGAGCAAGCAACAAGATTACTATTGTGATCTAAATTTGAAAACTAAAACAAATTTTAGACTGGCGGCGGTCAACCGAAATGCCCAATCGTGTTCCCGGCAAGCACAAGTGCGTTTTTGCAAAAGTCAAATGATAAGCAATAGTTTTACAATGTTAAATTGATCACGATTTAGCTATGAGAGTATTTTCAGGTGAGCGAAGACGAAGCTCTGGCCCGTGCACTCGCCTCTTCACTCAACACGCAGACCTCACCCGAAGAAATGGATCGCCGTTTAGCCGAACAACTCCAACAAGAGGAATACGGGTCAGAAATCTTCTTGAAAACAATCAAGGCTAACCCGGTGGATGCTAGGAATTGAAAGTAAGGATAATTGAATAGGGGGAAATGGATTGGGCACTTGTTGATCTTGGCTCCGGATTTTACAGCTTCGATCTTACATTGTTAGCTTCAAATTTGAAACAAGTAAACAAAATACTGAAAGTATGCAAAAATTAGCTTACTGATATCTGGAAATGAGATCAACAAATGTTGTGTGTGCTGAATTATTATGCAAATTGCTTCGAAAAGTTTAATAGTTGATCTAAATTCTGTTTTCCTTTAGACAAAGACGTGCTGGAGCCGGTTCCGGTAACCAAGAGAACAAGAATAATCGATGTACTTGCTCGTGATATTGAGTATCTTTTATTTTCTAATTTCAGATAATTGTGATCACCGCCTTTCTTTCATAGTTGTGCAAAAGCTTATCACATAATTTATTGACTGTTTGAATTGATTTTTATTTTAATAATTTGACAAAATTTGTACTTTCAATTCGAACATTTTCATTTTTATATGATTTACTAATGAAATTAGTGCAAAGTATAAATCTGAAATCTTTTCTATCGTAGTTATTATCTATTTTGTGCTAAACTTGCTGGTGTAGGCTAATTTCCCCAATTTTTTTCCACAACTGGATCGTTTGCGAAACTCGCCATAACTTTTTTCTAAGTGAGCCAATATTTATGATTTTGGTTTCATTTTGTTGCACTTATTGAGATCTACAAAATGAAACCAAAATCATAAAGATTGGTCCACTTAGAAGAAAGTTATGGCGAGTTGCGGAAATTAGCCTACCCCAGACTTGCTTACAGCTCAAAGAGTTAGTGCAAAATAGAAAACGAATTACGCTAGGAATATTAGACTATTCGATAGACTATTCTTTTTTTGCTGTGATTTCTACTTTTCTCTAAACTTTTTCAAGTCTACTTTCCCCATTTTACGGTTATTTAGGGTTTCAACGAATTTATTCAAATTTCAATATCTATAAAAAAATATTAAAATCGATAAACCGGTTGTTTTTGTTTTTTTAGGAATTTTTTTATGCCAATAAACGAATGAACACTTTATTATCATCAAATCGGAAAAATGGGGGGAAAAAGGGAATTTTTGATGATGAATCGCCTGCCTTGCCGTGTACGCTTGAATGGAAATTTTGGGGAAAGATCTCACTCGGGGGGGAATTGCGGATATGCAAATTCGGTTAAAAAGAAATTTTTCTTTTGGCGGAAACACTTCTGATTGGGTCGGCGACGCTTGGAAAGCGGTGGATAAAAGAATCTTTTTGATGAATGGTACTTTTGAGAAGTCTGCCACAAATCTAACAGCTAAAAAGAAGTTTAGAGGGGAAACTAGGAAGATTTTTTTTTGATAAAAGATGTTGTTGAAATGGGGAAAAGACAGGGCAGAGCAGGTCGCCACCCGAAAAGAAAAAAAAAAGCGTGTTTCCTTTTTTTTGTTGGAGAGATGAGAAGAGGGCTTTGAAATGATCTGAAAGATGAAAATTTATTGTAAGTTTTGTTTAAAAAACAAAATTATATGATAGAGTTCTAGAAAAAAACAATTTCATATAAAACTTTTAAAATTTGAGGTTTAAATTGATCAAATTATTGGGTTGGTCAATTGAAAACTGCGGGACTTTGAACTAAAATTTATTCAACATAAAACCATCAATTCATTCGAAATAATTTCCATTATTATTGACGACTTCTGCCCATTTTACAGGCAATTTGCGGATTCCTCTTTCGTAGTAGGATTTGTGTTTTTTGCATTTTGGTTTGTGTGTGAGATAAGTGTGAGACTCAAAAATGGAAGACTAGAGATGTCCCAGTTTGGGCACTTTCTTCAAAAGAAACCCATTTTGGTGTCAATAGAAAAGTTGTAGAGAATCAAAAATGAGGCTTATAGCCAAATTTCCAAAAAGATTCACTTAGTAGTTTCGCTTAAAATGCAAGTTTTGTGAAAATTCGTAAATATCGCATTTCTTCAAAATCAGTTTTTGAATCGTTCTGAAAATTTGGATATAAGCTTGATTTTTGATTCTCTACAACTTTTCCATTGACACCAAAATGGGTTTCTTTTGAAGAAAGTGCTCAAACTGTCACATATGACAATAGCCGGCAGTTTTCAATTCGCCAACCCAATATATGCCTAGAGTTCATTTTCCATTAAAATTTTGTTGTTTTTTGAAGTTTTCTTCAGGGATTTCAGAGTAGAAATGAGGATTTTTGTTAATTGAAATGTTTACATTGTTGGCTGAAATTTTGTGAGTATTGCTCGATTTATTCGGTGAGTAGATCTTCAGAGCGACTCGGAGATTTCTCACTCGGTTGCACTTTTGCGATCTCTTCCATCACTGGCACTGGGCCACTGAAAATAAAAACATTTTTGCTTTATTTGCTTTATTTTTGCTTTATTTTGCTTTATTTTGCTTTATTTAGATGTTTTATAAGTTTAATTTGAAGTTAGCAATGCTTTGATCCGATTCACAAACCTTCCCGCCAACGAGGCCCCACTCTGGCCGGGATAGATTCGAATTGGTGGCTCATTCGGGGAGTTCTCCTCGGAGATGAAGCTGAAAAGAAAAGTAAGTTATAATAAAAAGCCCTTGACAAAGTACAGTGCAATGAATCTAGGCAGGATCTAGCCTTAGGAATTTAATGTTTTTATAGTTTAGCTTTCATTTATAAGCTTTGTGCTACTGATTCCTGAAAATTATAGCTAATATAACTTTTTTAGAAAATATTCTAATATTCTAACGATTATTCGAAAGAATTAAACTCATTTCGATAATAGATTTTCAAATTTTAGCTTAATTTTAAGCTTTCAATTTGCGAAACTCACCCAGCCAATTTCTTCGATCCAATGCATTGAGCACAGAGGGGGATCATCAACGAAAGGGCTAAGATTGAAGCGCCAGAAGCAAACAGAATGAATCCTAAAAGTTGATTAAGATAAAAACAGATATCTAAATCATTTTCGGTAAAGATCTTGCTTTATTCTTACCTGCAGTCTTCCAGTGTCTCATTGGATCTTTCATAAAAGAGATCATCTTCTCGCTTGGGATGTACAAATTGCCGTCATCGTCCTGAAAAGCTATTATTGATGGCTGGCTTTGTGAAATCATTTACAGATTTTCTTTTTACTTACGGTATAGATGGCGATGTGATTGATGGTTGCCTCGACTCCTTCATGAGGCCATGTGTAGCCGATGATGATACCGATTGCACCGCTCAACTAAACGCAAAGTTCAAATTTTTCAAACAAAGCTAATCCCTTTATATTCTCAAATAAGCGCTTTAGGGTTGTTCAAAAGTTTTTTTAGAGACTAGAAAGCAGATTCTAGTCTGGCAGAAGCCAGTATTGACCTGGTCAGGCAAGGCCAGGCAAGGCCAGGACAATTCTTGACTCACTCTGGCACCTTTTTTATAATTTATCTCTTTTTTTCAAGTATCCAAATGCAGTTTAAAGCAAGAATTGTGTGTGATGATTGTAAAATATTACTATTTTATTTTACGAACCAAGAGGAAAAGCCCGAGCACGGTGCAGATTCGGCACACGAAGAGACCCCGACGTTGTGATGGTGGTGGGGGAAGGAGGTACCTAATTCCACAGCTTTAATAAGTTCTTTAATCCATCCATTCAGTTTTTTGTAGATTTTTTAATTCTTTCTTTTTTTAAATGTTTTTTTTAGAAATTTCCGAATATTGGTCAGAGTTTAAGCATTGAGAGAGAAAAATCACTTCCTCAAAGAAAATCACTTCCTGAATGGTTTAGAAATTGTGATGAGAACAATTTCCTTTTGATTTCCTTTCCTACCATGCTCCACTTTGTTCAATGTCTTCAACAGTTGGTGAGTGATAGAAATTATGAAGATAGCTCTTGATACCAAAACCGCTTGGAGGAGCCGTCACTGCATCCACCTAGAGAATTATATACAGTAGGGTCCAAAAGTTTGGAACAATCACCTTCCGGAAACTTTAACTCGACGTAACTTGCGTTAAATACATTCAATTTTTTTACTTTAAAAACTATTTTTGTTGCATTTTTTGTGAACTTTCTGAATGTCTACTTGATTTTATTTGATATTTGATCTTTTTTTGTATGTAAAATTAGGTATAATATTGTCCTAAATTCACATAAAAATCTAATTTCTTGATTTTATAAAATATAAGTTGGGGTAGGCTAGTTTCCGCAACTTTTTTTTGAGCAACAGGATCATTTGCGCAACAGGATCGTTTGCGCAACTGGATCGTTTGCGCAACTCGCCATAACTTTTTTTCTAAGTGGACCAATATTTATGATTTTGGTTTCATTTTGTAGATCTCAATAAGTGCAACAAAATGAAACCAAAATCATAAATATTGGCTCACTTAGAAAAAAGTTATGGCGAGTTTCGCAAACGACCCAGTAAAATATAAGTTGCGCAAAAAAATTGCGGAAACTAGCCTACCCCTATAAGTTATAATAAAAAGCCTTTAACAAAGTACAGTGCAATGAATCTAGGCAGGATCTAGCCTTAGGAATGTAATGTTTTTATAGTTTAGCTTTCATTTATAAGCTTTGTGCTACTGATTCCCGAAAATTATAGCTAATATAACTTTATAAAAAAAATTTCTTCAACTCACAAGTGCAGTAGGCTTTTGAGCGGGAGGACTGAGCTTCTCAGTCTTTTTTGCAGCTGTCCCTAGTCGAAAGCCGGTCATCCTCGCATCCAAATGAAATGGAGTAACGGGGATACACCAAGCCTATAAAATCAATATGAAAATAGGATAAGAATAAAGATAAAAAGACAAATTTACTCTCAAAAGATAAGAAACAGATGAAAATTTTCAAGCAAAACGCAAGCTCAGCTGAGATTCTTGAGTAGAATTTAGAATACACTTTTCCCGGTTGTCGTCTACATTCATGGCGGTGGTTACACGAGTGGAAATGGCTATATGGACAACAATCAAGCTAGAGAGGTTGGTGATAGGTGTTGGACCTGGGAATTAGAATGTTTTCCTTTGCATAATGCATTTTTTAAAACGCACACTTGGGAAAAATTATCGTACTTTTAGCGAAAATTATTGCAAAAAAATTGGCGCAACTTGGTTCATTGGTTCATGTACAGAAAGTGGTTAAAAAAGCGATGCTAAACAAGTTATGTGTTGTGGGAAAATACTAGAGTGTGTTCCTCGCGAGTAATGCCTTTTTTTAAAACGCACGCTTAGGAAAAACTTTTAGCGAAAATTATTGCAAAAAAATGACACAAAAATCACGAGCCACGACTTATATATGACTCTTTTTAAAGATATTCAGCCGTTTAACTGATTTGGTGGCAAATTCCCTTCACATGTAAAGATATTCATTTTACGCGACGTGTAAAGAGGATTACTCGTAGTTGCTCGACAAAAAACGTCGATTAATCGAGTAAAAATTACTCATGCAGATTTTACTCGAGTAATTACTTACTCGACGAGGAATGCGCTCTATTCTTGAGTGCTTTAATCAATTTTGCATAAAACAAATCTGAGAAAATGATTTGATGACAAATAGCTATATTTGACGACTTAACGGGGCTAATAAATGCAAATCGAATTGCAAATGAATGTCCGTATAGAAAGAGAGAAGGAAAGGGATTCAATTAGAGCGATGAACAATCGACTTGTGGCATGAAGAAGTAAGAAAGTTACACGTAGAACGTAAAGTTACACGTAAAGTTACACGTAAAGTGTTCATTGAGATTTTTTTGTATTATTTTCAAAGGCGAAAGCTTTAAAGCAAATGAATGAAACTTTATTGTACGGCAAAAAGCTTTTTTTCTTCAAGCTTAGACCAGGAAATGAAACAAGTTTAGAAGCCAGAGCTTTCCCTGATCTTTCACTTTGTTACAGATCTAGCTGATAAAAGTTCCTGAGTTCGTTAGAAGGGACTAGCCTGGTTCTGGCCTGGCTTACAAGCTCTAGCACTCGATTGGATCTATTCCTTGTTTCAACTGGCTTCTAGAATCCTAGAAAATCCTAGAAAAAGCTTTTTTCTTCAAGCTAGACCAGGAAAGAAACAAGTTTAGAAGCCAGATCTTTCCCTGATCTTTCACTTTGTTACAGATCTAGCTGATATAGTTCGTTAGAAGGGACTAGCCTGGCTCTGGCCTGGCTTACAAGCTCTAGCACTCGATTTGATCTATTCCTTGTTTCAACTGGCTTCTAGAATCCTAGAAAATCTCTTAAAGTGTTATGTAACAAAAGCTTTAACATAACATTTCCATATTTTGGTATTCAGGCCATAAATTACCTTGAAACAAAAAAACAGGACTACGTGAGAGCTGCTTTTGAAAGTTTTGAATGTTTTGCATGTTTTGCATGTTTTCCAGGTGATTGTTTTACCGTAATACCTCTTATAGTTTTTTTCTAAGTTTATAGTTAACGTTCTACCGTAATACCTCTTGAAATAAGATTTCTGAACACTTTCAAAAGTTTTTTTTATAGTTTCATTTTTGTTTGTCGAGTCAAAATTTGATGTGAAAAAGTGAAATTCGTATGTGGCACTATCAAATTACTCCAAAAAGATTATGAAGAAGAAAAAGAACGAAAAAATAATGATGTGAAGAAGAAATTTGTGAAAAAAAATGGAATAAAAATGAAATAAATGATAAAGGAAGTGATGGAAAATGGAAATTATTTGAAAAACTACACAGAAAACATTTAAAAAAATACCGACTGGGGCTACCAGTGGTGAATTTATCGCATACACGAAATATACAACACAAACAACGCACACACAAACAGGCAATCTTAACAACCCACGTCATGACAGACGGCCCCTAACCCTAAGCCAATGGGGAACTAAATAGCTTTTTTTGGTGGTGAAGGGAAGGTGACGATGAAGGATTTTGAAAAACAAAAAAAACAAACACGAGAATTCCCTTCTGCATGGGGCATTTGTTTTTCTTTGGGAAAACTTTAGTTTAGTTTTAGTAATTTGAAATCTAAAATATTTATTAGATTAGATTTTGGCATTAATTAGATAAATGTTAATGCAAAATTTGAAATTTGATATAAAATTTGGTATCTAGTGGCCTCAATCCCTACTCACTCACTCACTGAACACTCACTAATCGACTCTTGCGTTGTGTTCAAAAAAAAACGAACATCTTCTAGCACACTAGATTATTTTTTTTAAAATATGTCTGCCAGAAAGGGCGCGAAAGTCAGAGCACAAAGTACGGATGAGAACATCAATATTTTGCTTACAATTCGATGATATCCTTAGCCTTGAACCCAATTGACTTGACATTGACTCTGAACTAAAGCCTCTTCACTCCGAACTTTAGCCTTTACATATTGCAATCTTTGTGCCCTTTGTGCCAAGTTAAAAACATCATCTAGCATACTAGTTTTCTAGATCACTCTATTCGAAAGTATCCCAGAAAGAGTGCGTTTATCAGGGTACAGGCGATCATTTTATGGGTTGGGACCAAGAATACAAAACAAGATCGGCGCCGGGATTCGAATCCGCGGGATCTCTCGCTTACTGAGCGAACGCTCTACCAAGCTACATGTATTCCATCGCCGCTAGGGTTAGTACCTTATGCCTTACTGCACAAAGTACTTTAGACTTTTGAATGGACTCCTGCACTCAAAATAAGCAATGGATAGCAATAGAAATAGTTGTCATGGTCTCCAATTTCTCGGAGTTTGGTCAAATATACGACTAAGAAAATGTCGACATGTCATGCGAGGCTGAGCACGAAATCTTTGAGGATCGAAGCGAAAAAAAGGAAGGATTGATAGAAATACTACAGCTGTTTTCGTAATGCAATCTATATGAAAGATGAGGGAGTAGGAAGAGAAGAAGATCGCGCAAAATCGGCTAATAGTATTGGCGGTGAGGGGATGGGCTGAATGGGTGAAAAGGAATTGAAAGGAGTAGAAATAGAAGGGAAAGGGGTGACTGAATTCAATGGAAAGGATGATGTGTGTGGATGTCTGTGTGTCTCACTGAAACGGCAAGGGGCCCTGGAGGGTCCTCGACTCGGGCCTCTCTCTCGATCTCTTGTGCTCCATCTCTCTAACATTTTCTCTCTTTCTTAAGCCTATTTTTTTCATTCAACTACTCTTGATCTCTAACTGTTTAGATCTCTTCTTGCTTCTTTATGTCTCACAAAGGCCCTAGAGGGCGCTAGACTTGGGCTCCATTTCTCTAGCCTATTTCCTTTTCTTCTTCTACTATTCTATTCTATTCTATTTCTCAAACCTCAAGCTATTCTTGATCTCTCACTAGATATCTCTTCTTATCTCAATCTATATTCTTTCACTCATAGTTCTCAATCTTTTCCTCATCAGCTCTCTTCTACACACACTCTCTCTCTCCCTCTCACTCTGCCTCACTCTGTCAAACATCGTTAATCGGCTATTTTTGTCTTTCACATACACAATCTCTTTCCCTATAACCTGCTTCTTTCCCTCAATCCACCCTTTTCATCGTCTCCATCTTGAATCTCCTCTCCTGGAGACACAATCTCTTTCCCTACAACCTGCTCGTTCCCCCAAACCACCCTTTTCATCGTCCCATCTTGACTCTCCTCTCCTCTCCTCTTTTCAGTTCCCAAACGATCAATCGCCCCACCGAGGCCCTTTTCTTTCCTCCTTTCCTTTTAAAAATTGAACACCTCCTTTCAAAAGAACTAAATATTTACTCAAGAAAAGAGAAAAAAGAAAATTCATAAATTATCCTTTCCCTCTGGAATCGCCTCTCCTCGCAGCACTAATGAATCTCGGGGTTTTAATATATAAAGAGTGTATATTGAGAGGCTGGAGGGATTTTTCGTCAAAAATGAAAAGGATACGAGTTGCGGGGTTTTGAAAAGAAAAGATTTGGAAGGTTCAAAGACAGAACAAGGCAGAAATTTTGTGTTAAAATTTCTACATACATTTCTGTTAATAAGTAACTATAGCCAAAGTTTTGGAGACAAAAAAACGCTGAAATTGGGCTGCACTGTTCTCTCTCAAAATCAAAAAAATAGAACATAGAAAAGTCTAAAGTTTAAGGACTAGGTAATTAGTCTTTCATAAAGTTTTATTTACTTATTTTCCGAGAAAACTTTATTGATGTTTATCCAGGAATAGAAATTTCTAGACTTTAGACTAATTACCTTAAGACTAATTACCTTAAGACTAATTACCTTAAGACTAATTACCTAATCCTTAAACTTTAGACTTTTATTATACTGTAGAAACCGTATCAGGGGTACAGTAACATATTATAGGGTATCCGGAAAAAAAGGGGGTAGTCAAAACAGTGCCATAATAGAAAACGTTCAAAACAGCGCCGTCAAATTTCTCAAAATCCAAAAAACCAAGCCGGTTCAAGTTTTATACCAAAAAATCCTTGCGTTCTTGGCTACATGATGGGTGAAACAGTTTTTAAAAAAAGTTAATATTTCATAGATAAAAAGAGCACTCAAAATGGGTCTCTAAAGATATTCAGTCAACCAACTGAGTATCACTCGATTCGACAACTCGTCGACGAGTCTCTAAAGATATTCAGTTAACCAACTGTGTACCACTCGACACACATTTTGAGTCCTCTTTTTATCTATGAAATATTAACTTTTTTTAAAAACTGCTTCACCCATCATGTAGCCAAGAATGCAAGGAATTTTTTGGTATAAAACTTGAACCGGCTTGGTTTTTTGGATTTTGAGAAATTTGACGACGCTGTTTTGAACGTTTTCTATTATGGCGCTGTTTTGACTACCCCCCGAAAAAAGTGCTCATCGGTTTGAGTTTGAAAACTTGAAGTTTTTTTTCTCGTGGTTTTTTCAAGGTTCATCGTGGTGTCAAAAATGGTTTTGCCTCAGCGGCCACACAACAAGATGAAGTTGATTTTTTTGTTGAAAATCCCAATTGTTGAGATATAAGTTGATCAAAAACAGAAGTCCGATTCAAAACCGAACGTGTTTATCTATTGAATAAATTCAATAACGACTAAAATTATTCAAAAAAAAAAAGATTAACTGACTAAGGGTAAAAACCTGATCACATACCTGACAAATGGCAAATTTGAATAAGAAAGTAAAATCTGATAGAAAGAAGATTTCAAATTGAAAACAATCTAATCAAATTGCTCTTTTATAGATTGAAGCGAATCGCAAAATAGGAAGAAAAAGATGCGTTGATCGGTTCCAGGAAAAGAGAAAAGAACTCTCGATTTTCTCTCCAATTTTTTTCTGTTTTTTTTTTTGAGAAACTCTTTTTTTTATCCCTCCACTCTTTGATATTTTCCCCATCTCGACCATTTTATTTATCCCAACTTCAAAACGATTTGTATCTTTCTTTTACCATCAATTTTTTAGTAATCTCTAAGCGATTGGGTAAGAGATTGTAAAAATATCAAAGAACAGGGAAAATCACATGATTTTAAACAAAAAAAAGGTTTTGAAGAAGCTTTTCTTTGACTTTTCGAATCAATGGAACTTAGTGGATACTTGGAAGAGTCAAAATCGAGAGATTTTGTTGGATTCGGAGAGGAACTTGCTTTGTTTAGTGTGTATATTTTGAAATCAAACAGATACTTGGAATAGCTACCGTAAATACTGTAATAGTACCCGACTCCTATAATGACGGTGCAGAGTGTTGCGTAGTCTAGCTTTGAACGAGTTTTTCTCGACACTGGTTTATGCTACAATGCGCGCTTAGGTATCAAAAAATAGCCCTGAATTTCAGCTATTTTTTGGTACCAAAGACGCGTTTTTTGAAAGTACGGACGCTTTGAAAAAAATGAAATACTAAAAAACTTTTGCGACCACACGACTGTACGAGGGGGTGGGTTACTTACGTAGTATTTACGGTAAGTTATCAAAAAATTTTCAGTACGCAAGTCACGGAATGGTGGTCGTTTCGATCAACTATCGACTCGGGCAATGGGGTTGATTTTTATTGAAATGTAGAATATGCCGCTTGAAGTTTCCGTTATCTTTTTTTGTTTGAAAGAACTTACAAGACTGTACGAGGGGAGTGGGGTCCAATTACAGTATTTACGGTACGTTTTTTGAAAGTGCGCTTGTAAAAGTACATGAAAAAGATAAACTTTTACTTTATTAAAGTAGATAGATTTCAATGTTTTTTATGAAAAAAACCCCACATCGATAGGTTCTGATAAGCGCTTTTCGAGATTTCGAGCAATTTAGGCAACACTCAGGGTGCACTACTATTAGAGAGAAGACGGTAATTAAGCTCAAAGCTTCTTAATCCAGCAAAAATATTAAATGTAACCAATCTTTTATACAACACTGGAACATTTTTGAGCAGAGAGAGGGTTTTAATGGTTTAGAAGGTTACTGTAGCCTTGATCAAGTCAACTTTGTAATAATAAATAAAAATCATCTATAGAAGTTTCTATTTCCTGTTTCAATTGATTATTTAAAGTCCTGAAAACGATCGATTGAATCGTGATTGAATCGGTTCGATTCGGTCTCTTTCGAAGTATCAGAGTGATCTTATTACCGTATTTTCTCTAATAGTAGTGCACCCCGGCGAGCCGAGTTGGTGACTATTTTACGGTTTCCAAGCTTTTGCAGAAGCTCAACACTCAAATCCCCCACTAGATCTCATTGTCAGCTACATTTCCCGACCCCACATCGATAGGTTCTGATAAGCGGCTCTCGAGATTTCGAGCAATTTAGGCTTTGGGTACACTACTTTAGAGAGAAGACGGTATATTATTCCAGGTTAAGCTAGTAGATCAGACTGATCTGAGATCTGAAGTCGCTTTTGAAGTGAGAAGTTTTTTCGGGATTGAGGCCCTAGGTGAGGGAGGGGGAGTGGATGGGTGGGCGAGCCGAGTTGATGACTATTTTACGGTTTCCAAGCTTTTGCAGAAGCTCAACACTCAAATCTCCCACAAGATCTCATCGTCAGCTACATTTTCCGACCCCAAATCGATAGGTTCTGATAAGCGCTTTTCGAGATTTCGAGCAATTTAGGCGACGCTCAGGGTGCACTACCATTAGAGAAAATACGGTAGTATATTAGTATTATAGGTATTATTATAAGTACCAGCGGAAAAGGCTCACTATCGTGCTGGGCGCTCGGGAACACAATCGAAAGAGCAAATTACCGTATACCCGCTTAAGCCATGCCCCTTTTTGAAAATGAAGATCAAAATCAGATTTCCCATAAAAACCTCAAGAGCTAAGCTCCGCCCCTTGTTTGCCGATGGCACCGTTAAATCGCGCTCGTGGCATTTGAAGCGTCGCGTTTGCGCACAGATAGACAGACGGACGTCTCTTCTGCTTTATATATAGTAGATTATAAGTATATGAGTATTCTAAGTTGCATTTTTTATTGATAAATCATTTCAAAAAGAATCAAATTCTTTATTCAACAGAGTACCGTCGTAAATTCAAAAATGAAGAAAGCCATTTTTCGACTAGACAAATCAGATGGATTAAATGCAAGAAAAAAAACAAAAATAAAGACAATGAGAAAATGATAAGTGAACTCAAGAAAATCTGTTTTTATCAAAAAAAATATTTTTTTAAAAAGTGAAAGGCAGTTGTCGCAGAATATTTGGGCAATTAGGGAGAGAAAATTATTGCGTAAAGTTATCGAAAAAAAGGGACACAAATTGGAAAATTGCCTAGCAAAAAAGAAAAAAGAAAAAAAAGAGAGAATCTCAAAGAAAATCAAATCATTGGAGAATTGGGAAAAATTGAAAAATTGAAATTGAAGAAAAAAAAAATGAACTAAAAGATGGCTATTCACAACCCGATTTTGGTGATGATTTTTCGGGTTTTCGGTAAGCAAAAAGGTAAACTTTGAATGCTAGTTTGAGTACGTGAATTCTCAGCTACAGTAAGGCCAGTAAAAGTATCGAGTTTCTTATCTAATTCTTTCAAGATTAAGATTAAGATCAACCTTGATTCCAAAAAATCATCACCACATTTTTTGTCTTGATTATTTTTAAATGCTCAAAGTGTTTTATCAGGCTACCACGCTAGTTTCTTTCACGTTTTCAGATGAAATTTTCTGCTGAAAAAGAAAATTTGAATCGAAAATGATTATGCACTAAGATAGATCTCATTTCTTTTGCCCTAGAAGTAATTTACACGATATGCACAAGTGAAATGGAAAAGAGAAATGGGGAAATGGGGAGAAAGAGAGCTAAATGAGAGTTTCTTATTGTGGTAATCTTCGGGAACGTCTCCTTCTTCGTCGACTAAAGATTGGATCGAATTTTCGGAAAGCGTCAAACCAATCCCCGTGCACGATGTTGAAGAGATCCGGATTCCCGTTGATCACCAAAACCATTGTTGTCTGAAATGAGTTTTTGATCAATGATAGACAACGCAGTTCAGTCCAGTTCAGCCCAGCCCAGTTCAGTCCAGTCCCAGTTCAGTCCAGTCCAGTTCAGTTCAGTCCAGTTCAGGCCAGTTCAGCCCAGTTCAGTCCAGTTCAGCCCGGTTCGGTGACTGGACAAATTTCAAGGCAAACAGAACTGAGCTTAGCTCTCTAGTGCAGTCAATACAATACTTGAAATTTGTAGAAATCGAGTACAACTTGATAAATTATTAGAATACCAGAGTCTTTTACGATAAAAAAGAAAGTGAGATTAGCTAGTATTCGAAGAGCTTGCCTAAACATTGCTTTAAGCATTTTTTGATTTAGGTCTTCGCACTTTAGAGGGCATAGATTGACCTAAATTGGTCTAAATTGAGTGAATCGTTTTGATTTTTCTGGAGTTAACTCTTAAATATATATCCTAGAACGGTTTCCATTATCTAATCGATTCAAACTTTCAACTTTTTTTATATAACCTTCCAAAGTTGAAAGCCGAGTGCCAACAGCAACTCATTTATGGAATTTTGAAAGCTTTTTTAATAAAAAATCTTTAAGATTTTAATGATTTTCAATTAATTATGAAATATGAATTGTTTCTTTATGAATTTTAAAAGCAATAGACAAAAAAAATAAGCTTTTCTTGTTCTTTAGTGACTTTTCTGAATAGCTCAAGTGAAAACAGACGATATTAAGTGAGTTTTAGTGAGATTTCTTAAGAATTTTTGTAATTAAACTGCGTAGAGTATATGGAATTTCGTTTATAAACATAATAAATTCAATTTTAACGTGTTTTTGACAAGATTGCTTTCAAAAATCCCATAAATGAATAGCATGCCGGCACTTGGCTCTTAACTTTGGAGGGCTATATAAAAAAGTTGAATGGCTTAAATCGACTAGATAATGGGCAATTTTTTCGAAGATATATTTAAGATTTTTCTCGGGCAAAATCAGAACGATTGACTCAATTTCGAGCAATTTAATCTAGGCTATCTAATCTAGGCTATCTAAAGTGCGGCCCTATAATTGTGGGCTTGTAGTTAACGTTAAAATTAAGTTAAAGAACTGCATCTTTTGGTTAAGATCAAAGACAAAATAGCTATTGAACTATGACATCCATCTTTTGCATTGGTAACGATAAAGTGGTCAACTGTTTTCTTTACCTGATCATCATCGATAAATTCTCGTTGCACGAGCTCGACGAATTTCCGATAAAAAAGCGTATGCAATTGGCCGATCGTATGGGCATCGCCAGCGATAAAGCCTTAAGGAAAAAAATGATTTAAGCGTTTTCTAAAAGATACTAAAAGACAAAAAAATTACTTTAGAATTTTAAATTCCAAATTTCAAACAAACCTCCAGAGACGACAGACCAGTTTTGTCGGTAGAGACGATCGATTTTATAGCTCGAGATCGGATCATGGACAGGAGTTAACTGAAAGCAAAATTTACATTGAGTTAGCTATAAATGTATCAATACCTTGATCATTGATACTTTTCCCTTGGGAAAAGTGGGACGCCAGACTCCATCAAATGGAAAAACGTCGGCATTTCCATGCCCATAGCCGGCATCGATCCACACAAAGAAACCGGAGTCGAAGGGATTATCGATCTGCAATTCTTGAGCTGAATAGACCAAATGTAACTGGTTCAATTAATGCTGCAATTCTTGAGCATTAATTGAACCAGTTACACAAGTTTCCATTAATTGAATCTAATTTAAAATATACAAAAATTACCGTCACATTATGCAAGAAATGCGTCTTCGAGTTGACCAAAATATCGTATTCAGCACTCTTCGCCTCGGGATGTTGCATCATTTGCGGATCCCAGCCACCATTACGGTATCTAGATAATATTTAACTTATTTATTATAAATTCAAACGAACCTGAGCGTATCATTGTGCTCTTTTCCGATCACTTCTTTTGCAAAATCGTGATAGCGCCACAAAGGAAGGGATTCAAGAGTGATTTGGTAGACCTAAAATCAGAAAATTTGCTTATGTAATAGTAATTTGTATTTAAAAGTTACTAGTTTTCAAAAAAATCTAAAGTTTGCCCACCTTTGTCTTCTCCTCAACTCCCATCTTCTTGCGGTACTCGACGATGAAATCGTAGCTCTTATCATCGGTGAAAATGACCATGTTGTTGCGAAGACTGGAAGTTTTCGAAATCAGCTTTGAAATCATCATACTAACTAGTAATTTTGACTATGATTCACCTCAACAAATTCTCCATAAACTCATGATATTTCTCTAACGGTCGTCGATACTCCCACCAGTCGCCTCGTCCAATATCCATCAACGCCGTCACGATTGTGATATCACTAAATATTTTGAGCTTGTTGATCAGCTGTAATTGCCGAGTCTATTTAGAATCGTAGCCTGTTTTGCTAAGCACAAATAAATAAATATTGATTAAGAAACCATTGAAACAAACAAATAATTAACAACTGCTTAAGATGTTGTAGCTTAAGTTCCGAGCCACTTGCAATCGTCGCCACATACAGAATCAAACTAGCAAGAGGGACAGCCAAAGTATCAAATACCGAAGAACAATTACTGAAGCTGGCAAATAGCTGTTACAAAAAAACACTTGCCAAATTTTGCAGAAACGTCACCACAATCCCTTTAGTGGTGGAGTATTTAGATGGCGGCTTTGCCTTTGTTTTTAAGAAGTTAGAAAGCAAAAAGAAACCAACTAACCAACTAACTTAAAACATAACTATGAATGAAAATTTTTCTTTTAAAATAGCTCTTGTCACACTTGATTGGAACCAAGCTACTTTAAAAAAATTAACTTGACTACAAAAATTACCACAATTTCAAGGATTTCGGCGTGAAATTGGACTGGGAACAGTCCTTAAAAATAAAAATATTTAAGGAAACAATATTTGTAAAGTAAATATGGTTGAACTTTTCGAATCTAAAACCTGTTTTCCTATAACTTTTTTGGTAATATCCGTAGCAATTCTTGCAAATGGCTCTGAACTTTTCACGAATCCTGTATACTTACAAAATATAAACATTACAATAAAAGAAAAAGTGATCCCTTTACCCAATGTACATCTCTTGATGAGGCGGTGGTGTGTGAACTCTTCTTCTCGGAGTCTCAGGTGTTGTCCTTGTTGTTGTCCTTGTTGTTGTTGTTGTTGTGGTTGTTGTTGTTGTTGTTGTCGTAGGCAAAGTGGTGGTGGTTGGTGGTTGAGTGGTTGGTTCAGGCTCGTCAAATTCTAGAATCAAAAAGAATCAGAGCTATTGTACAATTTCCAAAGAGGATCTATCTTTTAAATCAAAATAAAGCTCACCATCAATACTCTCCAATGCCTCATCATCGTCCTCGATCGGTTCACTGTTCGGGATTCTCAGGGTTGGCCATTCGGGCGTTCGAGTGGATTGAATGACGATTGGTGGCTTTGCCTCATTTTCCACTCTTTGTTTCAATCTCGAGTCTCCATATCGTAAATCATTTGCAATTCTTTCTCTTCCCCATGGATCCTCGTCATCAGGAAGTGGATGAGACTCAAAAACGAAGGGATCATCTAGAAATAATGAAATATTAATAGAATGCTATAAGCTTTTTAAAATCTAAAAACTTTTTAAAGAAAACTACCCTAAAGTCTCGAGTATAAGTTCATCCGAGTATAAGTTCTGCCTTAATTTACATTCGCTTTACTCGCTTTGAATTTCTTTTTGTTGGGTTTTTATACATTTTTATTGTTATATAAACTTTTATTATTGTTCTTGGAGCGCGGGATACTACAGGGTGACAGCCTATCACCATTGCTATTTGTTATGTGCATGGATACATTCAGACGATAGTGTTGAAGAAGACGCTGGAAAGCATCTCTTTCGACCGTCGACGTGGACTTTGGCCAGATGAAGAGGCCAGGGAGGGATCCATAAGACTGAGCACCGGAGAGGAGCAGGGCGGACGCGCTGAGCCACGCCCGGAGCAACAAATAACAGCATAAAATTGCTATAACCCTCAATAAATTTACTCCTATTATTGTTCTTAAAAAGCAAAAAAATTATGCTGCAGCGGGGTTCGAACCCTCGACACACCGCACCGGAGACAGCTGCCAATTTGCATGCGAAAACCAAACAGAACTTATACTCGCGACTTTAGGATAATTTGACTCACCAATTGAATTCTTTCGTTCATCGAATGGCTGTGGCTTTTTTGTGGTTGTGGTGACTTGGTGATGCCAAACGTTTTGCCGATGATCGTGCGAATGACCCGGTCGCTCGTGTGGTGTTTGGTGTGGGTGATGGGGTGATCGATCTAACAATAACCAATAATATTTATACGCTGAACATTCATAACGTATTTATTCTAATAGAGAAGACCAAGGTCTTCTATTTTTCAACCTCCACAAATCGGTTGGCCGAAAAAAGTAGGTAAGGGTTTCCCTGTAGGAATCAAAGATTTTAAAATTGTTACAAACTATTTTAAACAATAGCCCTTAGCATAAAAAATACCAAAAACGGGTTTAGAAGTGAAATTATTTTCATACCTAGACCCCATAAAAAAAACTAAAAAAAAAACTTTTTTCAAAAAATTATTTTCTTTTTTTCAAAAGCTACATTGCTAATTTTACTGTCAAAGCTAAAATACATCTATTTACTCGAATAGAAGACGGGGTCTAGGGAGTGATTGAAAAAATAGAAGACCGGTCTTCTATTCGAGTAAATACGGTATCTAAAACTTTAACTAAAAATAAATCCTAAAAAGTCTTGATTTTGAGGAGTTAAGGGAATGATCTTCTATAAATAGGGTACCTTGATTGTTTTGGTGTTGTTGTTGCTGGTGATGTTGTTGCTGTTGTTGTTGCTGTTGTTGTTGCTGCTGTTGTTGCTGCTGTTGTTGTTGCTGGTGATGTTGTTGATGTCCCCATCGTTGTCGATATCGATCATCAACTGGATATGGATGACCGCTGTAGCCATGAGCACTGAATTGATCTAATTTTATATCGATTCTATATTGACTTACTGATGTCGATGAGTTGTTGTCGCAAGTGTGGTGGTGGTGGTGGTTCGTTGTTGATCCCATTGGTGTTGATGTTGATGCGGGAGATGATGGGGACCTTAATAGAGCTATTTTGAAAGTTTATCTTTAGTAGATCTGAATCAAGACGGTACTAGTATGTCCTATCTACAAATCGATTATTTTACCGTGTACATAGGTGGGTCGTGTAGGCCATTGAGTCCTCGGAGTTGTTGTTTTTGTTGTTGTTGTTGTTGTTGATGTTGTTGTTGTCGTTGTTGTTGTTGTTGTTGTTGTTGTTGTTGTTGTTGTTGTCGGTGGTGGTGGAGTTTCCCGGCTTTTCTCCGGAGTTTTAGCTGTGCTTTTCTCTCGACTCTCCCATCGATGAGGCAACAATTCATTCAACGGATCTTTCACACGAACTCTAAAGAATTTTTGGATAGAAAATGGATTAGCTAGAAGGTTTTCTATCCTTTTTCATGTTAAACAAAGCTAATTTTCTAACAGTTGCAAACCTTTGTTGTGTCTGTGCTCGTATCCTCCAAGTGGTAGCTGTTCTATGAATTGGAGTCTGATTTTCCATGCGAAGCGTCGAGCTCTCCACTTTTTGAGTCCTGGAATTTGAAATTACTGTAAGAACGAGCATATTTCAATAGATTATTAAAATATTTAGCCAGCTTGTTGCTGACCATCCTTCTCCAAGCGATAGACTACTGAAATTTCAAAGATGCTCTAGATTACTGTAGCAAAATAGAGAGCCAATAAGTCTTCCGACGATTGAAGATTGAAGACTTACTCTTGATGTTTATGATGTATATGAATGATGTGATGTGGATGAGCAGTTGTTGTAGTTGTTGTCGTCTTCTCATCATGTATCCGTGCCGGTTGTTGTCCTCGAAGAATCTTTGCCGGTGCAGAAGTTGTTGTGGTTGCGGATGATGAAAAGGGTTTAACCCGTATCACTGAAATTTCTGAATCACAAAAACTAGGTAAATTCTCACATTGTGTTGTTGTCTCGATCTTCTCCCAATTCCCAGTGGTGCGATCGAACTTGAAGCGAGTGGTACTCGATGGAAGGGGCTCGGCCTCTGAATTCAATGCTAATTCTTGCTACAATTCTTGCTATATTCTTGCTATTATTGTTTCTTTCATCAAAAACTTTCAAACCTTTCGGTAAATTGTCAATCTCTTCCACTTTATCACCGGAAAGCTCGGCATCGTCGGAAATAAGCGGTGGATGGGATTGACGAGTGAGATAGGTGATCAATTCATACAAGACATACGATAATGGGAGTAGAATGAGAAGTGCTGGAAATGGAATTGAAATTCAAGATATTTTGAGAGTTTTACTAACTTTAATCTATTATAGCTAGGCTGAGGTCTATTCTGGGTAGTTAAGATGTTAAGATTGTAACTGATTTCTTTGGGTTATGCGATTTTTCTTACCCAATCAATTTTCTTTTCAACTTTTCTAGAGTTGAAATAATAATAAAGTGAAATAATAATAAAGCAATTTTAATAAGTTCAATAAGCTCTTTCAAACTGTGGATGAGCTCAGCTGTAGCTCAGATTAGAACAGATTAGATTAGATCAGTTCAGATCAAATCAATTGGGTTAAGTAGAAAGTCTTTCATCCAAATTCATTTTCATAATTGAATCACTCTCAAGCTATCAAATAAAATACGATTTTTCATTCGATAGCCCAATCATTTCTCTTGCAAATGGCTTTTGAAAGTTTTTAAAAAGCTTTTTTTTGAGAGTTTTCCATTAGTAAGAAACCGATTGTTTAAAATCAAAGATCCAATGATCCGATTTGAAACGTTTCATTCAATAAAACCTATCTTATTGTCAATAGATAAACGATAACGGATAAAAAGTTAGATTTATAGATTTACAACGGAAATTTCAAAATAATTCGTTTATCAATTTTCTTTCTGTGCTCATTTTTCAATATTATTTTAAAATCCTAAAAATTGATTTAAAATAACAAAAATGAAACGAAAACGATAAACATTAAAGGGAAGAAATCGTTTGGTGTTTAGTAGTTTAAAACATGTTCATATAGATAATGAAATGAAAAGTGCAAGATTTAGTACTCTAGATTTAGTACTCTAGATTTAGTACTCTAGTTTTAGTACTCTAGTTTTAGTACTCTAGATTTAGTACTCTAGTTTTAGTACTCTAGTATTAGTACTCTAGTTTTAGTACTCTAGGATTAGTACTCTAGTTTTAGTACTCTAGATTAGTACTCTAGTTTTAGTACTCTAGTTTTAGTACTCTAGTTTTAGTACTCTAGATTAGTACTCTAGTTTTAGTACTCTAGTTTTAGTACTCTAGTTTTAGTACTCTAGATTAGTACTCTAGTTTTAGTACTCTAGTTTTAGTACTCTAGTTTTAGTACTCTAGTTTTAGTACTCTAGTTTTAGTACTCTAGTTTTAGTACTCTAGTTTTAGTACTCTAGATTTAGTAACTGATCTACAATTGAGCTAATAAATAATTTGAAAAAGCGTAATATAGCAGCGGAATAATACGAGTATAACGCTTTATTACGCTTTCATCAAATGATGCACTAGCTCAATTGTGGATCAGTTTACCAATCTTCAAACCATTTACCTATCAAAGCGACACATAAAGTGCGTTGTGTTGACCCACGTCGTTGTCCCATCACTTTCGTAATTCAATTATTAGGAATAAATAGAAAAAAATACGGCTAAACCGTATTTTTGAGTAATCTTTTGCCTCAATTTTTGCTCTATCTTCGCACCAATTTGCTGAGCATTCTAAAATGATTCTGATTGAGAAATTGAGTAAAGTTGAATGAAGAAAATGGCAAAACATTGAAAACAAGACACTTTGAAAGATTAATTCATCAAAATGATTAAGTAATTGAAGGGCAATGATTCTCTTTCGTCGATCAGATGAAGTGAGAGATGGGTATTTTGATAGACTTTGAAGCAAATTGGTCTAGTCCCCTCTTTGCCCAGTTCATTTGAAGGGAGTACTGTTTGTTCAAGTGGTTCTCTTCCCTTCTCGCCTCAAACGGATTCTCACCGCAAAAATCTTTTCCCATTTCTTTTTCCTTTTTCCCTTTTTTTGTTTCCCCTTCAAAGTCTATCCAATTTTTTTTGTGCGGCTCTAAAAAAATGCCTTTTCATTAAAAAAGCTTGCGGTGGATCCACAGAGATTTTTGAAGACAATTTTTGTTTGAAAAATAGAACTTCTAGAAGCTAGAAATAGATTGGTTAGATAAAAAAATTATCAGAAATGTACTAAATTGACCAAAGGTTTTGAACCTTCTGATCAGAAGCTGATCAGAAAGGCTTTTGATCAGAAGCTGGTCCTTGACTTGATCTGGACCCGATCTGACCAGATTTTGGTCTATTTTGGCTTAATTTTAAACGAAAGAAGCTATCTTAGCCCTGAGATTTTTGGTATTAGTTTTATTGAAAAAGAAACTACCGTAAATATTGTAATAGTACCCCATCCCCTCGTACAGTCACGTAGTCGCAAAATTTTTTTTACTATTTCATTTTTTTCAAAGCGCTCGTACTTTCAAAAAAAGCGTCTTTGGTATCAAAAAATAGCCCTGAATTTCAGCTATTTTTTGATACCTAAGCGCGCATTTTAGCATAAACCAGTGTCGAGAAAAACTCGTTCAAAGCTAGACTACGCAACACTCCTCACCGTCATTATGGGGGTAGGGTACTATTACAGTATTTACGGTAGCTATACTTGAATGCAGTTGTTAGATCTGCAAGTTACAAAGACGAGTACAAATAAAAAAGACTAAAATGTTTAGCTACAGATGTTGGATATAAAAAAAAAGAAAAATTTGGATTTCATTGAACGATTCTGTACGTTAAAGGCTTTATTCTTGAATTGATGAATGAAGAATGTTGGTGGGTTTTGTGAAAGAAATGGACGGCTGTGGGTTGGATATGATGTGAAAGGGTGTCTGATTTCCAAGTGAAAGCATGGCTCTTGCGCTTTATATCGGAATTTTCAACCATTTGAAGGGATTCGATTTCTTTGCCCAATTTCAAATGTTTATTTGTTCTTTGAATTGCAAATTGATTGTAAATTGAATGTTAATGCAAAAGAGGTATTCGGTTTCGTGAAAATAGAAAAGGTTTAAGGGAATTCATTGCGGAAATGGAGAAACTGATTTTAGCTCAATAAGAACTTTTATCTTTAGTCAGGGAAGCTTTAAAAAGTCGATATTAGTAAAGTAAAAGAGTAGAATTTTAGTTTTTACAAAAGTTTTTACAAATAAGAGTAAAAAGTTTGCAAAAGCTAAAAAAATTAGAGTTGAGTAGCTACGCACGGAGAAAAAAAAGAAAAAAGAAAGCAATGGTGAAAAAAGTAACAAACTGCGCAATAGGGACACTCGCTGAGAGGGGAAAGACAAGGATTTACATCGGAAAGTAAATATGAAAGGATGAGGATCATAAAAAAAATCGTTGGAATGTAAAGAAAGCAAGATTTTCCACAAGAAGCAAGAAAACAAAGCGGCTCTTGTTCATTATCCGAGATTTTGAATGAATAGCAGCGCTTTACAAGTTCACAACTTTGTCCAGAGATACTGTTAACTTTAAAGAGAACATGCAAAGCTTTAAAAGAATTTGATTGGAATTAAAATTTGACAATTCTAAGAATTCTAAGCAAGCGACAAGACGCTCATCGAATATCATTAAAACCCTCAGAAAGTGTACTTTATGTGCAACCTTGTGAAGTACTTTATGCACTCGCGTAATCGCTCTTCATCTGGCCTACCCGTCCAGCATAAGGGACTTTCCTTTCAGAATCGCTAAGCTGGTTGTCAATGACTGAGCCCATCCACGGGGTTCTCAAACCGCTGTTCGCATTAGAAATCCGCATTAAATTGGGACTAAATGCAAAGAAGAAAGTTGATAGATTTGTTTCTAAAAAAGTTAGCATTTCCAGCCGCAATTTTAGATTTAAAACGGGTCTTTTAAGTAGCTGATAAAGGGCTTATGGGAATTTGTGTGCGAAAGCAAAGAAGTACCATTACTCACCAAGTCAAGATAAGACAAAAAGGTAAACTAAGTATTCCCTTGAAGTCAAAGATATAGTTATTTAAAATTTGCCAGAAAATGATGATCAGTGTCAAATTTAAAACACTAAGACTGTGGAAATATCGGGGATGGGTTGACTTTTCAGAACTGCAATCCCCTTTTCCCCAACAAAAGCCAACAAATGATGGGTAAAAAAGACGGCAAAGAAATGCAAAAACTCGTACTGATATCGAAGAAAAGGAGTAGATCAAGAAAAGAAAAGAAAAAAGGAGAAGAAAATGCAAAAGAAAAAGGGTTGAGACTGCACGCGAATTATGGCGTGAAACGAAATTGAAGGGAGAAAGCTATAAAATTTCAAAATCTTGTCAAAAATTTGTGTTAATGTTAATGATTTCGAGAGGCCTGTTTCCAAGAAAATCTCTTGAAATGAAGTTGAAATTTTTATCGTCATGAAAGTGAATGAGTAAAATTTTTTCATCTTTTTCATGAGTATTCCACAATAAAATACGAATAAAATATCAATGAAAAGAAAAAAAAAAAAGGGAAAGAAGGGAAGGAAAAAGGGGGTAAAACTTTCGAATGAATGAGCTAATTTGGGTGAAAAGAGAGTGAAAGATGAGGGAAATGATAGAAAATGATCGAAAAAAAGGAACAAAATGATCAAACGAGCAAGCCAAGTCTCTGTTTGAGCTAGTACTTTGTGTTCAAAATGCAAAAAACGCATCCTCTTTGGCGCACTTTCTCTTCTCTCTTCACTTTCCAAGTCTCTTTTTGCGTGGAAGTGAAGAATTGAGTGCACTAGAAAGGATGGGTTTACATTTTCGAGTATAAAGTAAAATTGGGTACCGTATTTTCTCTAGTGGTAGTGCACCCTGAGCGTCGCCTAAATTGCTCGAAATCTCGAGAACCGCTTAGCAGAACCTGTCGATGTGGGGTCGGAAAATGTAGCTGACGATCAGATCTAGTAGGGGATTTGAGTGTTGAGCTTCTGCAAAAGCTTGGAAACCGTAAAGTAGTCATCAACTCGGCTCACCGGGAGATATTAGGGAAATAGATCAGTCTGATCTACTAGCCTAACCTGGAATCATATACCGTCTTCTCTCTAATAGTAGTGTACCCAAAGCTTCGCCTAAATTCCTCGAAATCTCGAGAGCCGCTTATCAGAACCTATCAATATGGGGTCGGAAAATGTAGCTGACGATGAGATCTTGTGGGGGATTTGAGTGTTGGACTTCTGGGAAAACTTGGAAACTGTAAAATAGTCATCAACTCGGCTCGGCGGGGTGCACTACTATTAGAGAAAATATGGTAAGTTAATCGGCTAGATTCTGGCTGAAATATCTGATTTTTTTTTGAGTAATTTAGGAGAAATCTTTAATGAATAGGATGAGAATAACGAAAGTTCATGAAGATTTTCCTCTAAGAGCTTAAAACTTTAAACAAGAAAAGAAGATATTTGATAAAATGCTTAAAACAAGAGAGCAAAATTGACCAAGTCACTTTTAAACTTTCATCGCTATCATTTCAATCTAACGATCCCAGATTCCCCGATAAACGATCATAAATTTGCTTTGGCAGAAAAAAAAATGCACTCAGTGCCAAGACGAAATACTTTCACAGGATCAAAAATGGGAATTTGTGAATGGAAAAAAAAAGGATGAGAAAAAGAGTGAGTGACCGCTCCCATATTTGAGCGTCGTCTGTTCCCTTTGTGCGCCCGATTTCTCTCGATCTTTCTCAATCTTTCAACACCGACTTTCTCTTCCCCATCGTCTTCATTTTTTTTCCTCTATCTACTATAGTAATTTTTCAAATTTCATGTTTTTCGAAATTTTAACAAGCGGTTATTGAGTGGCTGGCTAGTTGGGTAGTTGGCTAGTTGGCTAGTTGGCTAGTTGGCTAGCTGGTTAGCTGGCTAGCTGGCTAGCTGACTAAATCGGTTTCTGATTACGACATTTTCTTTGCAATTTACTATCTTAGTTCTTGGTTTGAGTAAAGAAATGTTGCATTAACTGGATTGAATAAACTAGGATTGTTTTAAAGTACTTTATCAGAGTTAGACAAGAGATTGGAAACAGCTTCTGGTTAGAAGAAAGCTGACGTTCTTGGATCTTCTTCTTGTCTTGTCTAGTATGACTTAAAGGCTTGGATAATCCCCAATCAAAATGTTCTAAAAGAAAAACTGAATTCAATTCAAAAATTGGAAAGAAAAGAAATCTATAGTTGATGTTGATTGTTTAAGAAATCTATAGTTGATGTTGATTTTCATCTCTCTCATTGAAGTTTCCACAAGGCTTCAATTCCCAGTGAAGTACCAGATAATATTTGTGTTTTTGTTGAGCGATCATAACTTTCGAGAAAAGAAACCGTGCGAATTTCGCGCACATTTCCATGACCACATTCATTCTTCATAGCAAATATTGATAAATGTTTGTCTAGCTTGAGACAATTGGCCTGAGGCTGAGAGGAGGGAAAGCTTTCACCATTTCATCATCATTTCCGCACACAATTTTCTGTTTGCACATCATTTGCACCATCGAAATGAGATGAGATGAGATAAGAATAAGGAAAAAGAGAGAGAGAACTTTTTCAATCATCCATGCAAAATCAAATCATTCAAATCATGAAG